CTTCTCAGTGTAATTGCCCATGGAATGGGTCTTTCTCAGCTGTTGGATCACAAAGTAATTTGTTTTGGCACATGAGCTTCGATCCAGCCCAAGGAGAACACTTTTCAAGTCCCACGGATTTCTCAAAGAGAGAACTGATTGACTTCGGCCAAATTACAGACCTTGGAAATGTTAATTATTTTGGACTACAGACTATAGATCCCAGAATCTCTACTCTATTCACTGTAAACTGGGGTAAAAAAACACACACAACAACAACAACACAAACACATTTCCCCAGGCTTTGTTAGACTCTGCCCTTTCTAAATAGTCAATGCCTGCTTACAGCCTTTGGGGTAAAATAAATCTCTCTTTTATTCAGGGAGGCTGGGCCCAAGCTCACGTGGGAGACGGTGCTCCATATTTCCACCAACAGTTTGAGGACTGACTATTTATTTCTTTTAACATCCTTTCCAAGAGCCACAAGTAAAAAAAGACTCCTGGAGAAGATTTGCTACATTTTGACATGTACATTTCATGAAACTGTTGGATGCAGGCTCTATCTATCTTTTGCTGTCGTTGTTTAGTCGTGTCCGACTCTTCGTGACTCCATGGACTAGACTAGAGCACGCCAGGCCCTCTTGTCTTCCACTGCCTCCCGGAGTTGTGTCAAATTCATGTTGGTTGCTTCAACGACATGTCCAACCATCTCATCCTCTGTTGTCCCCTTCTCTTCTTGCCTTCACACTTTCCTAACATCAAGGTCTTTTCCAAGAGATCTTCTCTTCTCATGAGATGGCCAAAGTACTGGAGCCTCAGCTTCAGGATCTGTCCTTCCGGTGAGCACTCAGGGTTGATTTCTTTCAGAATTGATAGGTTTGTTCTCCTTGCAGTCCAGGGGACTCTCAAAAGCCTCTTCCAGCACCACAATTCAAAAGCATCAATTCTTCGGCGATCTTTTGCTGTAACCTGGTTTAATTTTTGTGTGATAGCAACCTGTAGAATTGAGGATATGGCTACACCAGCAGTAGGGAACAAGCTGGTGTAGGCAGCTTGGGAATTGATTGGGTTTTATTAGAATGATCTAATCAAACCTGACCACACAGAAATGGCTCCTGTCAATATCATGATGTGGTTTAATAATTTATTTATTTATTTGATTTTTTTTATTTATACCCCGCCCATCTGGCCTAAAAAGCCACTCGCTTAATAAGTGAGCTGTTTCAGGATATTGTCAAATTAATCACTTCCCTTGCTCGGTAGAGGGATTGTTGATGATGAGCTGCATCAGTTATAAAAAACTGAAAAATCTTTTCTTTGCCTTCTCTTAAAGGGCCAGTTGAGAAACTGACAGCAGCTAAAGTTGAGGATTTGACTGCAGGTGGTTTCTTGACTAGCTTAAGGGTTTTTTGATGAGCTCATGGGAGTTTTCCTATATATCGTTGATCTTTCTGGGTAACTTAGGCCAAGAGAATGTTCTAAATCCATCATTAGTTCTACTTAGACTTATTGAACACAATGGAACGTAAACTGCTAGTGACATATAAGGGATTTACTTTAGGACTAACGTTGGATTTAGCCTAATGATGGCACTATCGGAAAATGGGATAATTTTTTGCAGGTCTTGACAAATACATGACATTCTCTGGAGTCAACTCGGCCTTTCATAATGTATCTGTCATTAATCATCAAGATCTGTCACACTAGGCTGCCTTCAGAGCACGATCTATGCAAGGG